AGAGACCTGGACCTCACTGTCCCCCCTCCCACAGGGAGACTGTCCTCAGTGTCCCTCCCATGGGAAGGAGGGGACCTTGGCACCCCTGTACTGTGGGGCACAGCCCTTGGTGTCTCCTGTCACCCCGTGGGACATGGCCCTCAGCGTCCCCCATCCCAAGGGGCGCTGTGTGTACCCCGTCCCACGGGGTCACAGCCCTCAGCGCCCCTCTCCTGCGGGGGCCACCCCCATCACCTCTGCGCGCTTGACGAACTCCTCGGTGGCAGCGGTGGCGTTGTCCTGCTGCCCGCGCCAGGCGCTGAGCGCCGATGCCTGCAGCGCCCGCCCGTAGGAGAAGGTGAGGGCCCACGGCCGCACCAGCGGGCACGTGTTGATGGCGTTGAGGTTGATGGAAGCCTCCTCCTCACTCTGACCCCCAGACAGGAAGGTGACACCTGCAGACAGCAGGGTTATGGCACCAGGGGGACCCACAGGGCATCCCCCTCCCGGTCCCCACCATGTCCCAGTGCTGGTACCTGGCACAGCCGGGGGCACGGTGCGGCGCAGGGCGGTGACAGTGGCCATGGCGATCTCCTCGGGGCTGTACTTGGTGGGGCAGGAGTGCCCGGGGGTCACCATGTTGGGCTTCAGCAGGGTCCCCTCCAGGTAGACGTGGTGGTTCCTACGGGGCTTTGTAGACAGCTGCCAGCCCCTGGAGAGGATGGGCAGTGTGGAGTCCCCCAGCACGGCACAGCGTGGCACAGTGCCCTCCCTGCTGCCCACCCCACTGCTCACCTTCTCCGTCACATACTGGCACCGCTTGAGGTCATGGTCACCATCGGGCAGGATCTCCGGCTCCACGATGGGCACAATGCCGTTCTGCAAACACCAGGCAGATGCCATCACGGGGATGTCTCCGGGCATCCCCCGGTGGAGTCCCCCAGCACGGCACAGCGTGGCACAGTGCCCTCCCTGCTGCCCACCCCACTGCTCACCTTCTCCGTCACATACTGGCACCGCTTGAGGTCATGGTCACCATCGGGCAGGATCTCCGGCTCCACGATGGGCACAATGCCGTTCTGCAAACACCAGGCAGATGCCATCACGGGGATGTCTCCGGGCATCCCCCGGCCCCACGGCAATGTGGGCCAATGCCTGGAGCTGGGGGTGATGCTCAGCCCCAAGGTTCAATGCCCACCCTTGCCAACGATGCCCATCCCAGTGGGGTGACACTTGGCCCCATGAGGTGATGCCCAGCCCCATGGAGTGCTACCCAGCACAGGGGCAATGCTGAGCCCCGTGGATCTGTGCCCATCCCTGTGGGGCAATACCTGGCCCCTTAGGTCAACAGCCATCCTATGGGTCAACGCACATCCTGTGGGGTGATGCCGGGCCATAGACACATACCTGCTGGCAGATGCTGGCGTAGCGGGCCAGGACGTTAGCGTTCTCCATGATGGCGAGCGCAGAGGGGGTGTTGTCGCTGATTTTCAGCACGCAGCGCCACTTGGCGAAGTCGGCCCCAT